CCAAAGAAGCTTTCATTTCAAAGTCCAAGGGCAACTAGTCCGCAACCACCCCCCGCTACCACATCCAAAATTCTACCTTTCATTTGCAAAAAGCCAATTTCTCGAAGCAGACTACCACCAACAGAATACAACAGCCCTACATTACCATCACATCCTCTTACAGCCTATGGGAGTCATCCTCAAAAGTTCCCTGCACCTGGAGCAGTTCCTTATGTCCCGATTCGACAATATAGGATGCCTTGTCGAGGAATTGTACCACCTGTGACAATAAGAACTGCTGTGCCTGTTTATGCAGCACCGCCATTCACACAACCACCCAATGTACACCCCCAGGTGCGAACTTCCCAACACATTCGAATTGCCCCCCCTGTCTCAGTTAGACAAGCTATTCCAGTTTTTGCTGCTGCTCCACCATTGTCCAGAAAGGAGTTTTCAGCTCTTCACAAAGGAGATTCCCTCACTGTCCATAAACAAGATCCGTCAACCACTACCGTAGAGGGTTCTGCCAATACCTCGAAAGCTGATCATTCAGCTGCATCTGGCCCAGTCTTGCTCACGACAACTTCTAATCAAGTACCGGAAACTCAGAGCCCAAATGCAACCAGTTTGGATGAAACCAAAACTGTTCAGCATCTGAAACAACTCAAAATCCAATAGATTGTTAACTTCGTTGGATATATACCATAAGATGTGACAATCTCAGATCATCTAGTGTTGTTAGATTAATATTCTGTTTAAGCGTCGTATGTACCGTCTCGACAGTTTTGCCTTTGCCATATATGACCAATAGTTAGCCCCAAGGTAAACGAGAGGGCACAATTTCCTTGTAATCGGCTTTATCCAGTGGCAGTAATGTTAATTGTGAAGTCCTTCCCCTTTAGCTATTTACCAAAAAAAATTAAGTCATCTATTCATAAAATCTCAGTTCCCTTGGCATTGCAGGCTCACAAAGCTGAGGCAAGTGTTAGAACTGTCGAAAACGATTGGTGGGTTGAGCTCCAGATCTTACAGGTACTATTCCCTTACAATTTTGTAATGTTTTTGCATCACTTCTCCATCTTTCTGACTCTAATATTGGGTAGGAAGACACAGAACAAAAGGTCTTAATTCTTAAAGCTTATTAGAAGATACAAAATCATGAAATCAAATAGAATGGATGGTAAGATTAGATTGTCAGAAATAAGGTAAAGATTTGCATGCTCTTAGACGTATACTCTCGTAATGATCGAGAAACTATAATGAGATTAAAAAAAAAAAAGTCAGAAAGTGGTCGAAAGTTGTCTGAAAGTAAGGGGTTAGTGGGGTGACAGGGAGTGTCTATTTCTCATCCTGACGAGAAAAAAACACAATAATTTCACCCTCCAAATCATAGTGTTGTAAACACTAGAAGCCTTAAATATTGACCACATTTTAGTTGCCTATGACCGTTTACTTCTTTTACTTTTCTATGATTGGATATGCTAGTATCGTTTCTTTTTTCTCCCTCAATATTTTGTGGTGCCTTGAATTCTGTGGTTTTGATCTGTCTTGTTTTGGGAAGTTTGGTTTAAGCTGAAGTAAGTTCATAAACTTGAGCGTTCAAATGGGTTGAACTGTATGATGATGAACAGGGCAGTCTTGAAATCCTTGGTTCATAGTGTGATATTGTTTACCTCTAAAGCTTTGAACCCATCAGCTTAATCTCAGTATTTAAAAGCGAAAGAATAAAGTGATTACTGATAGATAGATCCATTGCAGGAATCAAGAAAAATGAGATTTCTAATTTCAGGTGTCACGTCAAATTCGGTGGAAAAAGAATTGACATGAACAACACCTTTTGTTTTTTAGTAACATTGTTGAAGACATTCTAATTGTCCAGGATGAAAACATGAAACACCACACCCACTTTACTTTCTGGTAACCTACGTGTTAACGATGGGATTTGTTTCTAGTGGCTGCCTCTGCCAATACCCTTTGGATTATTTTTGAAGAAATTGTGTGTGTTTTTTTTTTTTTTTTTTTTTTTTTTTAATAAGGCCAGGCAATATCCAAACTAGTTGTTGTGTGTTTGTTGTTTTCTCCCTTTTGTGTGTGTAAATAATTTGTGTTGAAAGAGAATCAAAAGGGACAAAAAGGAGGGGAAATAGGAGTTGCTTGCACATAACGTCTCCAGTTCTGAATTGCAATTCAATGCCCTTAGGGATGTCCACGAGGTGGGGGCAGTAGCGTTCCAATGCCCCACAAGGAATTTTTCTCCATTTCTTGAGGGTGTGTGGGTAGATATGTTTAGAACAGTGTAGAGAAAGAATATTCTCCTTCCTTAGCCTCGTTTAGCTAATAGGAAGAAATTTTTTATACTCGTTTATTCTTTCCCCAACTACCCAATGGAAAAAAGGAAAGGAAGATAAGAGTGGTCTAATATGGTAGAACAATTCCCCCAACTACCCAATGCCCAAAACAAACTCTCAAACTCTCCATTTGCATTTGGGCATTCAAAGTTGCACTTTTTATGGCGAAAACAACAGTGCCTTGAAATGCCCAATATGATGCTTTATTATTTATTTATTTATTTATTTATTTATTTATAGGCTAAAATAGTGAGATAAGTGTGAGAAAGAAGCAAAGTTATTGAAGTGGGACCAAATCTCCACTTGAAGGACACCAACCCCTCAAAGCAATGCCACGTCAACCCCTCTCTCACACAACAACCATTTGTTTTTTATTTTCTATTTTTCTAAACAATGCGACTGTGTGTTATTTTATGGATCTCCCACAGACATATTGGGCCCACAATTGGGCCCATCGGCCCACTCCACATATATTATTCCTTTCCTATCACAAAAGCAAGCAATGCCAGATGGAACCCTCCACCATCTCTCTCTCACACACACTATATGTTTTTTGTTGAAGAAGAAAAAAAGAAAAAAAGAAAAAAAGGGGGTTTTAGGGTTACAGAGGGAGAGGAGGACAAAGTGGAAGAATGTTAATCCCATCACCTAAAGTTTTGTAAAGGAAAGTATACCCGTTTGACTTTCTTTCTTTCCTCTTTATATCTTTTAACGAAACGAAGTTGCTACAATGTGACTTGTGCCAACTACATTATAATACTATAATTTGAAAACTGTGATATTCAAATCTTGAGTTTAGCTTGAAGGATTCTTCATTACACCCACATGACGAGAAACTTAACAAAACAAAAGAAGACGGGAAGAGGGCTATGATTACTAAAATACACACAATGATTGTACCAAAAAGATTAATCCCGACCCGATGCGTAAAATCAATAAACAATCGGCACAATTCCCCCCATGTTGCTTGTAATGCAATGCAATTCCAATTTTCTAAGTTTCCTATTCAAAAATACACTCTCACTTTTCCTTTTCTTTTTCTTTTTCCAAAAAAAAAAACTAAAAATTCTCTCTATTTTTTGTGCTCATCGTCCCTCCTTTTACTTCTTTAATATAATTCCTAATTTTCATTACCACCTTTAACCTAAACTCCAACTTTCTCTAATTTATTTCAAGAATTCAATAAGTCAAAATTTATTTTTTTAATAATTTAATTTTTATTTTTAGAAGAAGTAAATGAGAGGTAAAAAAAAAAAAATGATAAAATGTGAGTGGGGAGCACGTGAGGTTACTTTTTGCGCGTGCCAAAGGATGAAAAATAAAATATATGGCAACCCATTAAATTCATATCATTTCATACTAATTTATTCCCATATATATAAATAAATAAATAAATAATGAAGATTGGAGTTTGTGGACCATTTTCGCCTTTATTTATTTTTATTTTAAATAAAATATAAGGAATGTTGGTCTGGAATTATGAAACCGCCTTCAAACTGCTCATCTTTTCGTCTTTATTGTCTTTCCCACTTGCCCTCCATATCCCCAAGATTCTCCATTTTGCCACTCCCTCCCTTTTACCAATTTTTATTTTTATTCTTTTCCTTTTAATGTATATATTTAATAAAATATTACACCCATATAATTCAAATCAACATTAACCAATGTCTAATTAGACGATACGTTCATATGCTTGCCTATACATTTGGTAACTCGAAACATTATAGAATGATACACCTATGTTTTAACTCAAACGAATGTTGATTTATTGTATGTCTTAATGTACGAGCATGAATTCATTTAAACTTAATCTATCGAGATGCTTGAATTTGACATCAAATTCTTGGAAGGAAAAATAAAATCTCGATGACCCACCTACCACTTCAATCTCAAGTTTTTTTTTTTTTTTTTCATTAGCAATCGTTCCTAGTGCATGAGGACTATTTTTGCATTGGTGCTACGAAAAAGTATTCAATACAATACTACAAATGTACGAGTCAAATTTTAATAGTATAAGAATATTTGAGTATCATACACATAATTTATGTCGTACATAAAAAAAAATGAATACGATCAAAATAAAATAAAATTCATAAATTATGTGAAAAAGACAAAAATACACCTATATAAATAAAAATTATTATAAGTTTCCTATTATAGACGTCTAACCATGAAGATTTATCAATGATTGGTTGGTGTCCAGTATTTATTTTTTTTGTATTAATTATATTTGAATTTATTTTTTTTTTTGTACTTTTAAGTGATTATTTAGCCTATTATTAACAATAAATTGATGATGATTTAATATTAGTAACAAAAAAAATGATTTATCACTTATATACGACTAGCAATAATTATTGAAATACTTTGACAATAATGATTAAAAATAATATATTATATATATATTTCAAATTATCGTATTTATTTATTTATTTTAACTTTGTAGAAACTAGTGGCCTAATATGTCATTTCAACTCCACACCAGGGACAATGACGTAAATGCAGCCAAATCAATTTTAAAAAATTATTATTATTTTATAGAAAAAATAATATATTATTATCTAAGCCAAAAAATAAAATAAATAAAAAAAAGAAAAAAAAAGTACTCCCACTGGCAAGTTTTGTCGATATGCGTGCAAATCAATCCCTCTCTTCTCTTTTATTCTCACTGTCTCTGCTAACTCTCAGATCATCTTCTTCCTTCTCTCTTCACGCCCAAACATCTCTGATTTCTTCACCCCTCCACCGCCTCCTTTTTCTTTCTTCTTCATTATTAGGGCTCCGTTTTTTTCCATTGCCCTCTTCTTCTATATGTTTTCTTCCAAATCCTCTGCATTCTATGTCCGATTGAATGACTTCTTCTTTCTAATGGGGTGTCTGTGTCTGTGTGTGGAATGCCATAACCGGCCATGGGGATGGATGGATGTTTAGTTAAACTCCTTCACTTCCCTTTTGATTTCTTGTTGTTCTATTGCGCTTAGTTGAACTAATAAGCTTTGATTTCCGGGAACGGGAAGGCAGGGATTGCTGTTTTGAATTTTGAGCCGGGTGTTTGGCATTATAGGGCTTAATTTTGCTACCCCATTTGGCATTTCTCGAGCTCTAAGGCTAAGAAATTTTCTGGGGTTTCGAATTACTGCTGTTTCCCATCTGGGTTTGGGATCTGAAAGCTCTGTAATCGAATTCGCCAGGTTGTTTTGGTTTCTGTGTTGGGGTTCTCTGCTTTTTTAGCTTGGGATATTGGATTCTGCGTCGTGGGTTTTAGACGAGATGGCCATGGCTATAGCTCATCACAGAGAGAGTAGTAGTGGGAGCTTAACCAGGCATCTTGACAGTACTGGAAAGTACGTTCGATACACATCAGAGCAGGTTGAGGCTCTTGAGCGAGTCTATGCTGAATGCCCAAAGCCAAGTTCTCTTCGAAGGCAGCAGCTCATCCGGGAATGCCCAATTCTTTCAAACATAGAGCCCAAACAGATCAAAGTTTGGTTTCAGAATCGGAGGTTCTTGATCTGATTTTATGCTTTTAGTTAAATTTGTTCGTTTTTCCTGCCATTGCCATGATCCTAAATAGCTAGAATCCTATGGCGTTTGGCAACAGTATCTTGAAGCTTTTGTTTACTTAACCCAAGAAGAATGGAATAAAACCTGCTTTACTCAGAGTTCATAAGTTCTTCTTTCTTACCAATACAGATATACTTACTTTCTGGTGGAGGGTTTTGTTTCTTTCGTTTTCTCTAATTGTCCTGTTCTGGGATGCGGAATGGTAATGGTGTTTGGACATGCAGATGTAGGGAGAAGCAAAGGAAGGAGGCTTCTCGGCTGCAAACAGTGAACAGGAAATTGAATGCCATGAATAAATTGTTGATGGAGGAGAATGATCGGCTGCAGAAACAGGTGTCCCAATTGGTGTGTGAAAATGGGTTTATGCGGCAGCAATTACAAACAGTAAGCATGATTGTTCTTCATCCATCTGCAAGCTTATACTTGTGGGCTTTTACAGACATTCTTAAATTTTAAACGAATCATTATTATCTCCGATGTTGCAGGTGCCAGCAGCAACCACTGATGCAAGCTGTGATTCTGTGGTCACCACTCCTCAACCCTCTAAAACAGATGCTAATAACCCAGCTGGGTAAACTTCTAAACGAATTACCGATCTGTTATCTTTTTCGTACGTCTAAACGAACATTATGTTTGATTGTTGTCATGTCTTATTGGTCTTCTTTGTGCTTGGTAGGCTCCTCTCAATTGCAGAGGAGACCTTGGCAGAGTTCCTTTCAAAGGCTACAGGAACTGCTGTTGATTGGGTCCAGATGCCTGGGATGAAGGTTTTAACATGTTCTGATAATTCGTTAAGTCGCCTTCTATTATCTGATCTTAACCATCGAAACTGAATTATAATTTACTGTCAGCCTGGTCCGGATTCTGTTGGGATCTTTGCCATTTCACAAAGTTGCGGCGGAGTGGCAGCAAGAGCCTGTGGTCTTGTAAGTTTGGAGCCTGCAAAGGTAAAGACTGTTTATGTCGGTGAATAATGGACGAGTCTGCAATAAGAATATTTATAACAAGCTTTTCTGCAGATTGCAGAGATCCTTAAAGATCGTCCATCGTGGTTTCGTGATTGTCGAAGCCTTGAGGTTTTTACTATGTTTCCAGCTGGAAATGGTGGAACAATTGAACTTGTCTACACACAGGTAAAACCGACTGGACTGGACCTTTTATGTTTCCTCTTTTAGAAGTAATGGTCTTATTTGGGCATAGTAGTAAAGGGAGTACGTTCTGTTGTAGGTATACGCTCCAACTACCCTTGCTCCTGCACGTGATTTTTGGACGCTGAGATACACAATAACTTTGGAAAATGGCAGCCTTGTGGTAAGCTTGTCACGATTTCTAGTCATTTTATCTATTGGAAATGAAATATTTGTTACAATCCGATGTTATTTATGGGCGGTTGATCTCTCTGAAAAAATAGTTGGATGGGATAATATCTGTTCATTTTCGTGGTCGTCCATATTTCAGGTCTGTGAGAGATCTCTCTCGGGTTCTGGTGCTGGTCCTAGTCCAGCTGCTGCTGCTCAGTTTGTTAGAGCTGAGATGCTCCCAAGTGGTTATCTGATTCGACCATGTGAGGGCGGTGGGTCCATCATACATATAGTAGATCACCTAAATCTTGAGGTTTGTCCTGCATTCTCTCCCAGATCTTTTTACTCTGGAAAAGCTCGATCCCTCGATCGTAACATTGCTCCTCTTATAGGCATGGAATGTTCCTGAGGTGCTGCGACCGCTTTATGAATCGTCGAAAGTCGTGGCTCAGAACATGACTATTGCAGTAAGAGAATTTCTTTTCTTTAGTATTGGAGATTTCTTGAGAAGATTTAGTTTTTAACCCAGAAAATTTAACAATTGAATATATGCATTTGTTTGTGTAGGCACTACGGTACGTTAGGCAAATAGCTCAGGAGACGAGCGGTGAAGTGGTTTATGGTTTGGGCCGACAACCTGCTGTTTTGCGAACCTTTAGCCAAAGATTGAGCAGGTATCTACACGTTTTCTCTATTATTAAAGTATTTGAAATATTGTCTTTCACTTCGTCTTTAGCGTATAATATTTCGAACTCGTGCATTATTTTCTTTCAGGGGTTTTAATGATTTGGTGAATGGATTCAATGACAACGGATGGTCATTGATTAATTGTGAAGGTGCTGAGGATGTCGTACTTGCTGTGAATTCTACGAAAAATTTCGGCACGACATCCAATCCCGCGAACTCCTTAACGTACCCTGGGGGAGTTCTTTGTGCTAAGGCTTCCATGCTACTCCAAGTATGTTTAGTTGCTGTTTGCAGTGTAACATTAAACTTATGGTAGCTGTTTACTTCCCGTGGATTTGTCGAACGTTTTGAACGTTCGCTTTCATATTTTTTTAATGGGATACAAATAGGGGAAGATTGTATTCATATTTCTTTTCTTTTTCTACCTTGCTAGAATGTTCCTCCTGCCGTGCTAGTTCGTTTCTTGAGAGAACACCGTTCCGAATGGGCTGATTTCAACATTGATGCATACTCTGCAGCAACCCTTAAAGCTAATTCGTACGCATATCCAGGGATGAGGCCGACAAGGTTTACCGGGAGTCAAATCATCATGCCACTTGGCCATACAATCGAGCACGAAGAGGTTTGTTCTAAATGGCAACTGTTTCTCGTCATCTATGCTGTCTAGCTAGATACCATATTGGCATGAAGTAACATGATGAATGCTATTAGATTTTCTTAGAATTCAAGGACGCAGTTGTACAATCTATAGTACGAATCCTATTATACTCGATGAGTCAATCCAATGATTATATTTTCTAGTCGTCAAAACTAGATCAATGTCCATTGCTTTTCTTGGATATACATTTTGTTGTTCTTTGCTGATGAACCACATCAAACACGAGTATCCGTTGCTGATTACGGTGTATTCCAGTTGCTTGAAGTTATTCGTCTTGAAGGACATCCTATGGTACAAGAAGACGCTTTTGTTTCAAGGGACATTCATCTTCTTCAGGTTGATAGCCGACTATTTGATTATCGTTCGAAGTTTCTTTGGATGCTCATGATCTTATACGCCTTTAATAACTTGTTTGTGTTTCAGATATGTAGTGGAATCAACGAGAACGCTGTAGGAGCTTGTTCAGAACTCATTTTTGCCCCGATCGATGAGATGTTTCCAGACGATGCCCCATTGCTGCCTTCTGGCTTTCGAATCATCCCATTGGATTCAAGAACAGTTGAGTATAATCATTTCACATGCATTTTTCGTAGCCCTCCATGCTCGAACTTGAATTTTTACTTGTGTGGCATATGGGATTCATCTTTTGGGATTTGGGTATCGTCGTATATCAAATTCGTCGTGTCGTGTCGTGTGTGTTCGTATGCTCATATAGATAACCCTACAACCTGATGCTTTCTTGATGCAGAGTGATGCTAAAGGTGCATTGACTACACAACGGACTCTCGATCTAACATCAAGTCTTGAAGTGGGTTCTGGAACAAGCAACGTTGCAGGAGATGCGTCGTCGAGTCAGTGCCCTCGATCCGTGTTAACTATTGCGTTCCAGTTTCCTTTCGAGAGCAGCATGCAGGATAACGTAATGAACATGGCACAGCAGTACGTACGTAGCGTCATTTCCTCGGTGCAGAGAGTTGCAATGGCCATATCTCCTTCTGGGGGCAGTCCATCACTAGGTCCAAAGTTGTCTCCTGGTTCTCCAGAAGCTCTCACTCTAGCACATTGGATATGCAAGAGCTATAGGTATCTTCTAATCACTACTTTTCTTTCATCAGTACAGCAAGAAAAAAGGAAATATCGAGAATTTACGAGGCTCGATGAAATTTTCGGAGTTAGGAGTGTCGTTTGAACGCCATGTATCTGTAATTTTATTGATCGTTTAAACGATTCCTCGATTCAGTTTACAATTAGGAACGGAGTTGATCAGTTCAGATAGCTTGGAAAGCGATTCCCTTTTGAAAAATCTCTGGAATCATCAGGATGCGATATTGTGCTGTTCGTTAAAGGTACATCGATAAAAGTAGCATATGGAAACTCCGTTTTTCTGTAGTATGATTGAGTCGATAAAACCGAACTAAACGGAGAATTCTTGTCTGGTTTTGTTCATAGCAGTCATTGCCTGTTTTCATGTTTGCAAACCAAGCTGGGCTCGACATGTTGGAGACAACTCTAGTAGCCTTACAAGACATCACATTGGATAAAATCTTCGACGAGGCGGGTCGTAAAGCTTTGTGTTCTGATTTTCCAAAGTTAATGCAGCAGGTAGATAAATTTTCAGTCACTGCAACAGAACGTTCTTCGTTTAGCATGGTTCGAAATGCATATCGTTGAATGTGTTTTGGGTTTTATGATCAGGGATTTGCGTACTTACCTGGAGGAATCTGTGCATCGACAATGGGGCGACACGTTTCGTACGAACAAGCGATTGCATGGAAAGTCCTCGAGGCAGACGAGACGACGGTCCATTGCCTTGCCTTCTCCTTCATAAACTGGTCTTTTGTTTGATTGAAAGGCTTCTCCAATGGCTCTTCCAAAAGTAATTTAATTAAATTGTTAATTAAATCGCTTTTTATTTTGATTCATGTAAATATTGGGGAGCCCAATTAGATACAAACACGTGACCCTTTAAGGAGACAGTTTTGAAGGCTATGATTCTTTTTTATTCCCTTCATCCACTAACTCTTGTCGTGATTATATTATTATTATATGATAATGTTTTTCAATCATAGCCTTACGTAAGCAGAACATATGGTTCAAATTTAGCCGCCAGCCGCCAGAGGAAACCGGCAAATCCGACCACTCCAATTACTTGAATTGACTGATAATGAACAAAAGTAAGATTAAACTTAGGTAAGAAATAATGAGAAAACGAGCGTAAACAATCGAATGCGTATTCGACTCGTGCTATAGACATATTAATCCGCTTTCTATCAGTCTAAGCAGATAGGTTGGGTCTTGTTCGTGATGGAAAAAATGGTTGGGGAAAAGGCAATATTTAGGAACGGGTGAGTTTTTCTATTCAAATTATAAAGTTAGTAAATATGGTAGATTCTCGTATATATTATATTTTGTGACAAATCAACAAGAACATGAACAAAAAGAATCTCATACCAAGGAGAACGAATGACGTTCGATTCTATCTCAAACTAAATGTCGTGTTTGATGATTTTGAAATTACCAAAATCACTTTTTTTATTATTATTTTTTTCCCTGAAAATACTATGACAAGAGTGATTTTGACTATAAACGTATCCTAAATATCAGGTATGTTTGTAGGATGCAAGTCAAAAATGATTCTTTCCCAATAATACACACAAGAGATAGAAGACAAACGTTCCCATTTCAGACAATAGCATTGGACTCTACATTTATGAAAGAATAATATATGTATACCAGCCATATCAGCCAAGTATATCCAAACGAAATTAAGAGTAGAAAAGAAAAGTGAATGTAAGTCGAAGGAAATTGTACATTTCCAAGCTCACTACTAGCAGATATTGTCATTTTCTTTTTGCTTTTCTAGCTTCTCTCAAGATTTTTAAAACGCGTCTGCTAGCGAGGGTTTCTACATTTTTATCACGAATGTTTTGTTCCTCTCTCCAAGGGATCTCGCAATCCATCCATTGGAGGCCCAACATCCTCAATTGCACACCATTTGTAACAAGCTCAAGCTCACTGCTAGTCGAAATTGTCATCTTTGGGTTTTCTCTTCTGAATTTAAGTTTTAAAACGTGTATGGTAGGAAGAGGTTTCCACACCCTTAAAACCAAACACGAGGGTGGTGGAAACCTCTCCCTAATAAAAGTGAGAAGTTCAAAAAGAAAAGTTTAAAGACGTGAATAATTACTAGCAATGGATTTGTACGAATTACCTTTTACCTTTACCTTGAAGGAAGGAATTATGGTGATGCAAGTGAGGAGAAGTTGAAGAAAAAGGAAGGCAATGCGGTGAACCAGCAAAGGAATGCCATTGCGGTTGCAGCATTGAAGCCGCTGCACACAAATTGTTCACCCAACAGGGGGCAACGTCGATGTCTATTAGAACTGTGATGCCAGCACAAGCACATGCTGCCGCAGTGTGCTGCTGATCTGCAGGAGGAGACAAGAAAGCCAACCATTTCACTATTTCTAACCCACATAGACACCCCCTTGTAATCAAAGCTCTCCCTATCGGTGCGCCGTTTCCGCCATCGGTCGTCCGAGTTTCGTCCACCACCGGATGAACCGACGCCTGCCTCGCCTTCATCTCTCTCCCAATTACAGCCCTGCCTAGCACCGAAATCGGCTTCTCATCCTGCTCGGTCAACTTTGACCTGTCCAACAGCTTATGATTGGCCCACGGATAGTGGTGGGGTCAGGTTTGATAAACTAATGCATACGTGGCATCAGTTTAAGATATATTGTTCATTAATTTCGACTATTTGAATTTCGCTTATTATTAAATTTTTTTATTTTAAAATATAAAATAAAAATTTGAAGTCTCACTCAATTTTTTAAAAATAAAACCTACCCTAACTTAATTGGTTGGAATTGATAGTTTTTATTTTCTTCCATTATTATTATTTTAAAATTTTAAAATTATTAAAATCTCATTTTGTTATCTATGAAACATATTTATCTATTATAAGATATGATGCATGTATAGATTTAGTTCAAATTGATCGATGTTACCTATAAATTAATAATTAAATATTATGTATGTATGGATATTTTGATAAAAACATCCAAGCTATTGTCTACTAATTTGTACTCTAATATGTATTCACTTGTACAACATTTTGACCGACATATCTCCATTGATGTAATTTTCATTTTTTTCCTTCTCTATTTTTATACTCGATGAATTACATGTATTGCGATGAACCTAGCTAGTTGGAGTACGTCCAAAACTTATAGAGATTTGGAATCAAGACTCACGGTGGCCAATTCATATGTCGTGATTGCCCGACGCATAATGGTGAGCCAAGGCTCGATTGTGTTGACCCACCCCAAAGCCCAATGTGGTGAGTCAAGGCCTATTCATTCGACTTTCGTGTAGATCGCTCATAGCCCATAAGGCCCGACCCCATACATGGGTCACATTGGGTCCATGAAGCTGCCATGTACACGGGTCAACCAAAGCTCATTTGGTCGATTCGTACATGCGTCAGTCCAATTCATTGTAATTGGAAGGATGTCAATTTTGCGACTTAATAGCTATGCTACAAGTGGAAGAACAGTTCAATTTTAACGTCAGTTTCATAAATGATTCATTGAGTAAATCTTTTAAAAGTCACCAAAGATTTATATGAGATCATGATCAAGTAACGGCTAATAGAATCTTTTATTATGGGAGATTCCTTTATTTTGCACGAACATTTATAAATATTTTCTCCTTCGTTAATTATGATAATTTTTATTATTAAGAATTCAAAGTAATAATAATTAAAAAAAAAAAAACAATTACAAAATACAAATAAATGGTAAGTATTAAATTTGAATTAATATGATTATTAATTAATTGAACCTGGAAAAATAAAAAAAGAAACACAGTCAACAATTAATTTATTATTATTAAACCCACAAAAATCCACGAGTTTTTTATGAACTCCTTATGGTAATCGTTGAACATTCAAATTAAAGAGAGAGTGATTACCGTTGAACATTAAATACAAGTCATGTTATGCAATTGCTGTAAGCATCGTATTAATATCATCAACCAAATTCCGAAAATACCCTCGTGCCACGTCAGCGAGCCTAGTTCGACGTGTCACTTTCAAATTTCAAAGACGCCTCTCGCAAGTTCCACTTGGACCGCGTCATACAACACTCAGCTTCACTATTTTATTCCATCTTTACTGCACGTAGTAATATAATATATATATATATTACATCATTTAAAAATATTAATTCTTTAAGTGGTGCGATGTCCGTATTATTGTTTAATTTTAAAATTTTAAAATTTAAAATTTAACTTTGTTTTGAAATTAAAAGCAATAATAACGCCAACCCTTTTTTTTAAGCTCCCATTAAAATATACTTTAAAATTAAAATATAATTTTAAATTGTTTATTATAAAAAAAAAAAATAGTCTTGAAAGTGAAACTTTACAAATAATTAGTAGTGGGTCTTTGTTAATTATTTTTTATTTGTGTAATTAACTAAGACTTTTGACTATTTTTTAAATATCATCCATAAAATAATAATAAAAAACAAGATACCAAAAATAATTTATCATAGGAAAAATAATTTTTTAGAAAATAATTTTTTTTCTTACAAAATTTATTTAGTTCAATTATATATATATATATATTTTTTCCGTCCCCTTCTTTCTCTGAACTTTGAAAATAATATTTCATTCGTGGCTCTGTCTTCTCTATTGCTCTCGATCTTTACGGCCTTGCCTACTCCCGATCTCTATCTCCCTTAAAATTAGGGTTTTCAGATTTACAGCTCTTCTCTCACAGCTGCTGCACTTCTCTTTCAGGATTATCCACCTTCTTTTTTCCTCATTTCTCCAGCTAAACCCTTCCCTGCGAATAGGGCTTGCAGATCTACTCTTCCTTCGATTCCATCAACATGTTTTGGAGGCTAACTTCCCTTTCTACTTCCTCTCCTGTAAGTGATTTTATTGCATCTAATTACACCGACTATGGCTCTCTAATTCACTCTATGTCTTTTTCTAATGGCTGGGGAACAGAGAAGGGGGTGGTTGTTTTGTTGTTCTTTGCAAAATCGTGGATGGATTTCTACTCTTGATTTTTTTGTTTCTGTTATTTATTTATTTATTTATTTATTTTTAATGCTTCTTGTTTTCTGCCACGGCTAATTACTTTGTTTTCGATTTTATTTGTTGCCCATTTTCTTGTGTTCGAGCTCCCTAATTACGTTGGGATTTTCGCAATCCAGTTATACTTTTTAGGGAATCGTTTGTAGACTGGACTGTTTGAGCTGGATGACCAGAAGCTGTTAGTGTTTATCGCAGTCGTTGTTTTGTAATTCATGTTACATGCATATACCATGTGTTGCAAAATGAAAACTGGTGCTTCCCCATCTTGGTGTCTCTTTTCTGTCCCGCTTTAACTATTCCTGAATTTGAAACGCGTTAGCGTTGGTTGTCAGATGTGTTTTTTCCTTTAAAGGTTTTTTGATTGAGTCAGGTTTAAGTTAACTGATGAAGAGTTGACCTGTTACGTTCATCTGCATTCGGTTTCCCAAGAAATTCCAGAGTTGGGCTGTTCGATTGTACAGATACTTCTTGACTTCAATAGCACGTTCGCTAACCTTTTGAATTAGTTTAAGTTTAGCCTCTGAAGAGTTGACCTGTTAAATTTATCTGCACTCTGTTTCCAACTAAATTCCAGAGTAGGGCTGCATGATTGTATTGATACATATCGAATTGAATAACATTTCTGCTAACTTTTTGAATTATTTTAAAGTTTTCCCTTAGTTTGGGGAACGTGATATTTATCTTGCAAACAAATTAGCTTTATCATCTCTCCCTCTCTCTCTCTCTATTTCTTTTCCTGACCGTGGAAACACGAATATCAATCAAATTTAACCGGTTCTTTGATTTGGAAGTATGAATGGATTAGATATAACCTGTTTGGTTCTTCAGCATGTTGTGTAACATTAATCACTTCGCATATTGAATGGGTTCCCATTGTTTCTCAGGAAAGTATTGCGATAGA